TGGAGAAGGGAGTTATTAATATGGGTAGGGAGAAACACTAGAATTAATCCTGTGACTTGGATCGAAATTGGATCTATCAGGGTGAACTCATGGTTTTCAATATAGATAGATGACTATGGAAACGAATACTATATATAGATATAAATGTGCATCTGTGTGTGCACACACGTGTGTAACGGTCCACCGAGAGGATCTAGAGCAGTGACACCCAGTAACAATGAGCACATGTAGATCTTGGTTTCTAGATTGCCTTCTTCACAAAAAGGAACCTGGGCTCTTTGGAGAAGGGGCTGATTTCAGGATGAGGGCAGGAAAAGTGCAAGGTGAGCCTGGGATATCTTGTGCCAGAGAGTAAGGAAGTGCTTTAAGAACGATGGTGACATGTCGAAAGGACACAGAAGCCAGCTTGAAGGGACTGTCACAGGCCAAATCTAGGATTATTTGGGCACCCCCAAAATAATAACAGGAATGGCTTATAACCCATGGAATCAAGAGTCTATAATAGATGGAAATAAATAAATGAAGAATTTGATGAGAGATGGGGTATTTACCTCAAAATAACTCCCTATGAAATATTTCTTTTTTTTTTAATCCATTATATTTTATTTATTTATTTATTTTTAATCCTCATCCGAGGACACTCTTCCATTTATCTTCAGATAGAGCGGGAAGGAAAGAGGGAGGAAGAGAGAGAGAGAAACATCAATATGAAAGAGACACATTAAGTGGCTGCCACCCACACGACCCCAACTGGGGCTGGGGACAAACTGCAACCAAGGTACATGCCCTTAGTGGGAACCGAACCTGGACTCTCTGGTCCGGGGGCTGACGCTCTAACTACTGAGCCAAACCCACCAGGGCTATATTTTATTTTTTAACTCATGTTCATTGTTGAATGTATTACAGATGTCCCCCCCTTTTTTCCCCATTGACCCCCTCCTTCCCATTTCTGCCCCCCTCCTGTCCTCCCCACACTATTGTTGTTGTCATTGGTATGCATATATGCATAGAAGTTCTTTGGTTGTTCTCATCCCTCCCTCCCTCCCCCCTTCCCTTTGAGGTTCATCAGTTTAACAACCAATTTGTACTTTTTAATTTCTTCATCTTTTTCACCCATCCCTCCAGCCCCCGCCCATCTGGCAAGCAACAAAAAGTTCTCTGTATCTATGAGTCTGTTTCCGTTCTGCTTGCTCATTTTGTTTGTAGGTTCAATTGTTGATAGATATGTATTAATTGCCATTTTATTGTTCATATTTTTGTTCTTCTCCTTCAAGAAGACCCTTCAACATTTCATATAATACTGGTTTGGTGGTGATGAACTCCTTTAGCTTTTTCTTGTCTGGGAAACTCTTGATATGTCCATTGATTCTAAATAATAGCTTTGCAGGATAGAGTAATCTTGGTTGTAGGTGGTTGCTTTTCATCACCTTGAATATCTCTTGTCACTCCTTTCTGGCCTGCAAAGTTTCTTTTGAGAAATTAGCTGACAGTCTTATGGGAGCTCCCTTGTAGGTAACTGACTGCTTTTCTCTTGCTGCTTTTAAGATTCTCTCTTTGTCTTTAACCTTCGGCATTTTGATGATGATGTGTCTTGGTGTGCTGGCTCTGGGGTAAGGTCAGCTTCCGCCTGTGTTCTACCCGGGGCCACCCAGCATAAGCTACAAAGTGATCTGCAGATGGTTGCTTCTTGTGTTGGGCTTGGAGGTGCCCAGGAAAAGCCAAGTTGTGAACCAAGGCTGGCTGCTTCTAGTGCCAGGCCTGGGGCCACTTAATGAGAGGTATGGGGCTCACTGAGACCAGGTGCTGCTTGTTTGAGATATTTTAGGAAACTTTGAAGCAGGATCCAAGGCAGGCTAATCCTATGGTAAAGCCATTGGAAACAGCTTGGGTAGGCCTGAAAGCTGGGTGAGGCAGGGCCTCAGGGAATCACCAGGGCAGGGAAAACAGTGTGAGCCAGGTTGCTGGAGTCTCAGATAGTTTGGCTGTGTTCAACCCGGGGCCACCCAGCATAAGCTACAAAATATCATCTGTTATGATGCAGTGAGGACAGAACATCACTTCTGGGATCTCTCACAATGCACAGAATCCACAAGCTTTTCCTAATCTAAGATGCATGACCTGAATGCATGACCTGATCCAGAGCAAACATCCGACAAACCTAAATTGAGGGACAGTCTCCAAAGTGTCTAGGTCATGAGAGTCAAAGAACAAGGAATGTTCCAGACCAAAGGGGACTCAAGCATCCGGACAACTACATGCAACATGAGATCTTGAATGGAACTCTTTTGCTAGAAAGGACACCATTTGGACAAATGGTGAAGCTCGAGGAGGTCTGAGTACTGTATTAGATGGCAACAATGTATCCATGTTAATTTCCTGCATTGGTGGATACATTGTGATTCTGCAGGGGAACAGCCTTGTTTGGAGGAAATACACAAACAAGTATTGGGGCATTGTGTCAGGAACTTATGCTCAAATGGTTCAGGAATAAAAAGTTATTTGAATTGTCCTTGTAATTTCTTTGTAACTTTGAGATTATGTCAAAGAAAGGAAATGTTTTGTGTGGCTTACTTAGTGTTCTTTTTATTTATTTATTTATTTTTCTTTATTTATTTTTAGAGAGAGGAAGGGAGAGGGAGAGAAAGATAGAAACATTGATGAGAGAACATCGATTGGCCGCCTCCTGCATGCCCCTCACTGGGGATTTGGCCCACAACCTGGGCATGTGCCCTGAACGGGAATCGAACTGGCAACCTCTTGGTGCATGGGTCAACGCTCAACCACTGAGCCACACCAGCCGAGCTACCTAGTGTTTTTTTTGAAAATTTGAATTAGTTGCCAACATCTAAAAATCAAGAGATTTTTTACCCTCAAATCTAGGTTTCTTATGTCTTCTGAGAAATCTGAAATGCTCACAACTCTGGACAATGAGTGGCCAGGTGAATAGCCATAGTGCCCTTTAGATGGGGCATGTGATCCCCCAGTATTGCACAGTTCCCACCACTTCTGACTAGATAATATCCAGCTCACAGCATCCATTTATACTACCAGCCTGCCCCCTGGTACCAGTCCAATCCCTACCATAAACTATGAGAAAGCAAGAATGGATGAATTGTAAAGACATTTCATTAACCCAGAGCAATGACCTAGCTCAGCATATCAAACTACATACTATGGCAAGAGAATTCTTCTGGACTTGAATTTCTTGTATCAGCCATGGTCTCTGGTGGTGTGGCTGGGGTGGCGCAAGTTGAGAAATCAGGGTGTCGTCTGATGCTGGAGGTCCCAACGTGGGTTGTGATCTCTTCAGAACTGACAGAGGTGTCTAAAAGGTGGGTGGAGTTCTAGCACTAGTCATGGTGCTGGGCGGGCTTGTGATGCTTCAAGAAGATGGTATCTTAGGATGCCTGAGGTGGTGAGGTTGGGTGTGGTGGGAAGAAACCAGAGTTGATGACTTGGGTGCCTATCAGTGGGAGAGCTGCTTGATGGGGCATGTCAGGGTTTGGGATATGAGCAAAAAGAGGTGATAACTTTGTTTCCCCCAGACCTTCTCACCTCCTGATTGTACTTGGGTCATGCCCTTGGTTTGGAACAACCTCTTCTCTCATCTGCCCCCTGAAAGATTACATTGAAAATATTTAATAAGGTTTGGCCATTACTTTTTCTGGCACTAGTGGTTTCTCATTGCCCTTAGGATAAAATCCAAACTCTATACCACCCCCTACTGAATCCAACACTCCTGCTCAACTCCTACCACTCCACTCCCTCCCCTACACTCCCTGGTTGCTTGCACACACCAAGCTCTTTTAACCTTAAGGTTTTTGCACAGGCTGCAGCCGCTCTGGCTGTCTCCTGCTTACGCAGGTCTCAGCTTAAATGCAGTCACCTCTTCAAAGGTGCTTACTGCCCCTGACCCCCTACATCCTATCTCTCAGTCTTGCCCTCAGTCATCCACTGTCACTTCACTGTTTTATTTTCTTCATTTATACTTATCGATGTCCGAACTTGTCTTATTAATTTGTGTATCGTATTGTGTCCCCAACTAGAATGCTGGCTCCCTGAGAGCAGGGATTCCCCTGCACTGTCATCACTTTATTGCCAGTGCCCAACACAATGCATGGCACCTGGTGGGGCACAATGGATATTTATTCGGGAATGAATACAAAGCTCTCCACGACCCTGACTGGCTGGATTTCTGGAGAAGGTGGGCATTGGGTTTTAGGACACAAGCATCTAGGTGGGTATGGCTGAGGTGAATTGTGCTCCATGTATCCTGGGGGGTGAGATTAGATTTGGGGAAACTTGCGCCCTGTCGGGTGGTGGTTGAGTTGAATTGTGAACTGGGCTGTTGAGGTCAGGCTGGACCCAAGGTTTCAGGAAACAGGAGTCCTAGTTAAGCATGGCTGAGTTGGCCTGTGACTTGAGCAATGAATGATCCTTGATGGAGAAGAATCAAGATTCCCCCCTGAGAACTGTGACCGGGTAAGCGTCCAGCAGGTCACTCGGGACTGTTGGGGGAAACAGGCGTCCTGGGAGGCTCTGGCTGGGTGGGGCTGTAACCTGGGCTGGTGTGTGGGTTGCGAGTTATGACCTGGGCAGCTCCACGCCACCATCAGGCGAGGACCCGGCCCAAGCCAGTCAGCCCGGCAGGAAGCACAGGTGGGTGCGGCTCACCTGGGCGCACCTGGAACCACCAGTTCGCGCGCTTTCGCTCTGGGACTGACCTGTCCCGCCCCCCGCCCAATGGAGGCGCGGAGATCTGCGGCGACGGACGCGGATTGGACAGAAGGACACCACGGCTGGCGAGGATTGGGCGCGGGCGGGCGGGGGCGGGGCGGCGCGGCGGGTTCCAAAGACTCTCGGCCGGCGGGCGGCGCTGAGCGCTCGGCTACGCGGGCGCAACGCGAGCGGAAGTGGCGACGCTGGCGTCCCCAGAGTCTGCTGCCGGCGGCAGTGACGGCCCCAGCGCTGACAGCGGCGGCCGGGGGGGCGGCGTGGACGCCCGCGGCGCCGGCTGGGGCATCACCGCCGGCCTCGACCCCGAAATGGCGCTGCTGGCCGAGCACCTGCTGAAGCCGCTGCCCGCGGACAAGCAGATTGAGACCGGGCCCTTCCTCGAGGCGGTGTCCCACCTGCCGCCCTTCTTCGGTGAGCCGGGGTGAAGGGGGGAGCCAGCCCGCAGCCCTGCCCCAGACGCACCCGAACCCTCCTCTTTCTTTGTATCCCCAAACCATCCCTGCCCTCGACACGCCAAATCCTATTTCCCCAGGCACCCAAGACCCATTTTCTCTCCATGCACCCCAAATTCTTCCTATTTCGAACCGTTCACAAATCCTCTCTCTTCAACATGTCACATATTCCATCTCTTCCCAGATATTCCCAAATCCTCCATCTCCCCCAGATACTCGAGTCTTCATCTCCAGACAACTCCAACCCTCCATATCCCGACACCTCACATTCCACCATACCCATCAGGTGACCCCCAATCCTCTGCTCCCCGGGGCGCCCCAATCGTTCATTTTCCCTAAACACTCCTTCCTCTTCCAAATCCCCAATTCTCCAATTCTCCATCTCTTGGAAAGCATCCCACTACTTCTGCCTCAAATTCCTTTCTCTCTCACCCCCCAATCATTCCCTCCCTTTTAGAATGGCTCTCAACTCCCTCCCCTTAAAATGAATCCTCCCATTTCATGAACCCTCTCTTTTTCTTAAATTCTTTCTGCCTCTCCCACATGGGACCTGTGAACCCTTCTTCCCTCAGAATGCCCCCATTCCAAACCAAAAACACGGACACATACACTCCAAGGGCAGGAAGCCTGGCAGGGTGACAAAGGGAGTTTTGAAAGTGAGTCATAAAACTTTAGGGCCCCTTTCTAGAGGGAACCACCTAAAGTTTTTTCTCCATTTAGAACAGAGGTCAGGACTGGGGATGGGGCTGCTCTGTGGGGTGACGTCAGACACAGAGTGCTTGGCATGGGCTGTAGAAGAAGACCCCTCCCTCATATGTCATATCCAGGAATGTCTTAGGAGCACTGGGAAAAGCAGTCCCTGTGCTAGTTCAGACCTTCCTTCTGCCCCTCCCTCAGCCCTGCCCAGGATGGAAAATGGGAAATAGAAGACAGTACCATGTGCCCCTGCCCTTTGCGTTTCGGGTCCTGGGTAAAGGATGCAACCTGAGCCTCTGCTTTCTTCTCTTCCATGTGGACTTGTCCTGTGCCCTGACCTGTGAGTTCACTTAGTGGCCTGGTACGAAGATACCAGTCCCCAGGCCAGAGTCCAACTGAAACCTACAAACGACAGAACCTTAACACTGACTGAGACTGAAGAGATTTAGCTCCCAGGGCGGTTACTCACTTTATCCCTAGTAGGTGATCAGGGCTTATTATGGGCAGTGGTTCCTACAGTGTCGTGGGGGGGAGGGGGGTTATGGTTACCTGGAGTCATATCCTCCACTTCTTGGGCCTCAGTGTCCCCATCTGTGAAATGGGGATGTTGATCTCCAGGACTAGCTAGGAGGAGTCAATGAAGTGGTGTATGTAAAGGCATGTGGCCTTTAGTGCCAAATAAATCTCATCTGGGTAGGTGGGGAGGTGTTATTATTTAAGTTCCTGGATCCAGTTTTGATTCCTTCATATAGTAGGTGATCAATCAATGTTAGAATGAGTGCAACTGCCTGGTTTGGATGATTCTCAGGCTTGCGTAAGCAACCTGAGAGTAGGATCTTGGTCGTTGTGTTCTATTGCTGTGTCCCCAGTACCAGAACAGTGCCTGGCACATAGTAGGTGCTCACTTGGTACTTGCTAAATGTACAAAACATTCTTATTGTCAGTATCACAGTGTTGCCATAACACTGAATCTCTAGGCAGGGCTTTGGGGGTGAACTAGTTTTAGCATTAAGTTAGTTTTTGTGATAGTTTTTCCCCATTCTTTGATTCTGTGAACATTTGTAGGACAGCCAACTTGCCCTAGACAAGGATTCAGAATCTAAGTTGGTGGTTCTCAACTGAGGGCAGGGGGTAAGGGTACAACAAGATGCTACTGGCATCTCGTGTGTAGAGGCCAGGGATGGAGCAAAACATCCTAGAGTGTGCCGGACAGCCCCCACCACAAAGAATTGATCCAGCCCCAAATGTTAGCAGTGCCAAGGTGGAGAAACCTTGAGTTAAGCTCTGTGGCCTTTTCCTCCCTTATCTCTGCAAGGTGGCCCATCAGTTCTGCATTTGGGAGTGCCTTCATTTAATGCAATTACCTGGCTCGTTTTGGAGGAAAAGGATGGTGGCAGCTGGAGCCAGCAGTGATCTGGTGTCATGGTTGAAGAGCATTCCCTCCTCCTTTCCCTGATCTCAAAGGACCCTTGTCTTTCCTTCGAGTCACATGCTGTGGCCCGTCACATCTGTTGACAGAAGCGCCATTTATACAGAAGCCTCAGTGGGTTTGCCCACAGAGGATAATTCTTAGCACTCAAGAAAAAAAAAAAAAAAGAGGTAATCCATTCTGAACCATTATGCTCTTCTGAGGGGAGAGTTTCTCCTGAGGGTTTAAGAGGATGCTTCTACCAATGGCTTTTCTCTGGGATTCAGGAGTCCAGGGAGATCTGCTGTCAGCTCTAACACAGGGGCTTTGTCTAGATCTTGGGAGTGTCTGGTCACCTGGATGATCTAGGTGGTGAGTCTCTTGAATGGAGGAGGTCTGGGATAATGGATGCAAGAAGTCTGAAAGCCATGGAAGTGACGGTTCCCTTCCACTCGGGGTTTCTGTACTGTGGCATTGCTGACATTTGGAGCTGGATCATTCTTTGTGATGGGGGCTGTCCGGTGCTTTGTGAGATGTTTAGCAGCATCCCTGGTCTCTGTCTACTTGATGCCAGTAGCACCTCTTCTGCCCAAGTTATGACAACCAAAAATTATCTGTAAGGAATCAAAATCACCCATGGGTGAGAACCACTGTTCTCAATATAAATATGGCAATGGGCCCTGGCCAGTTTGGCTCAGTGGTTTGAGTGTCAACCTGCAGACCGAAGGGTTGCGGGTTTGGTTCCCGGCCAAGGGCACATACCTAGGTTGCAGGTTTGATCCCCAGAGCTGGTCAGGTTCATGTGGGAGGCAGCCAGTAGATGTGTCTCACATCGATGTTTCTCTCTTTCTCCCTCCCTTCCACTGTATCTAAAAATCAGTGGAAAAATATCCTCAGGTGAGGATTAACTAACTAACTAAATAAATATGGCAATGGGCTGAAAGCTGTGTTTTTAAAAAATATTTAATTTTTCAAGGAAGATCTGTTTCTTGAAGGAAAATTGAGCAAAGAGAAATGATAAATAGAAATCTCTCTATCATTTATTGAGCACTTACTATATGCTAAGTATTTTAGGTGGAGTAGTTCACTTAATCTTCTCAGCCCTTTTGCGTTAAGGTTTTGTAAAGAGAAAATTTCTGCTGACATTTCAAAGTGTTTTCTTTCCAGACTCATTTTTATCACTCTCAGGGGAGAATGTATAAGCTGCTTTTTCCACCTAACGATACAGCATGACTGTCTTTCTACGTCAGTCATCTTTTTTCATAGCTGCTTAGAATTCCATTCTTTGTGGCCATAATTCATTGAACCAGCCCCCTGCTGTTCGACATTTCACATTACTCCTCATTTTTTGTGCTCTAGTAAACAACTGAACATCCTTGTATTTATTTATTTTTCCTACTTCTTTTGTTATTTCTAATATTTAGAAGTGACATCCCTAGAGCAGCCATATTTCTTAAAACTTCATCAGGTACAGTTTGTGATAGTGTTGGTTGGGCTGGATGAATGCTGGTTCTTTGGACGCAGGTCAGATGTGACTTAGAGCACCCACATCTTGGGCTAGCCCTTCCTCTATCGCTCCAGCCTGAATTGCTCGAGTTGTGCAGGTTTTTCTGTGTCCACTTAGAGGCCAGCCCTTTGTTCATCTCTCTCCACCTTGACCCCGTAATCGGATCTCTTCTCTGACTGATCAGCTTGCAGCTGACTTCTGTGAGGCTTGCTCTCTCATCTTTTAGGTCAGTTTTCCAGCTGTTCTAGAGCATTAACAATCAGAGGGCAGAGGGAGGGGGGAAGAGAGAGGGAGGGAGAGAGATCACTTAGTTTTGTCACTCCCTGCCTAGAAGCCTCAGTGGCTCCCTATTACCCCAACTTAAAATTGGTGTTGCAGCCTTTCTGAAGCCCCACAAATGGTACCAGGCCATCACTTGCCTCTGGAGCCTTACCCGTGTCAATCTGGTGCACCACGTGTCTCCAGCCCACTACCTTTCTTTAGCCTGGCTGGGTCCCCTTATCCTTAAGGAACCAGCGTAGCAATCACCTCATCCAGAAAGTCTTCCCGGACTCTCAGAGACTCCCTTAGAACCCGTCACGTTCTGAGACTTGGAGTTATTTCAGTGCCCGTTTTGCCAAGTGAATGCTTTTGGTTCCGTTCCCATTTTTTCTGGGTTCTTTCAAAAAGTGTTTTTGCTTTTCTCTTTCTTTCTAAATTATAATACATGATCAAATTACAATACATAATTCACATCCTGTACCCGTGGCAGACATAATTAATCAATCATGATACTGTTTCCCCTTTCAAGTCTAGATACAGCCTCAGTGTCTTTCTTAACATGACCACTCTGGGTCAGTTAGAGTTGATGCATGAGATGATACCTGTTAGCTCTCACTGTTTAGGGAGAAATCAAAGATGCAGGAGCTGAAGGTAATATTTTTCACCTCTCAGTTTTTTTTTTTTTTCCATTTAATTTTTAAATTTATTTTGGAGAAGATGGAGGAGAGAGAGAGAGAAAGAGACAGAGAGAAACATCAACCTGCTGTTCCACTTATTTATGCATTCATTGGTTGACTCTCATATGTGACTTGACTGGGGATTGAACCACAACCTTGATGTATTGGGATAATACTCTAATCAGCTGAGCTATCCAGCCAGGGCACCTCTCAGTTCTTGATTTTTCTTCTTTTAGGCTTCTTAGCTTAATTAAGTGGATGTCCATTGAATTGGGCCTTACAGGTATCTGGCACTCAATTAGTCCTAGAATAACCCCCAAAAGAGTGGTATTATGTCACTTTGGTTCAGAGCTTGCTCTTTTTTGGGGGACCAATAGCAGCCCAGAAGCACAGAATCACCTTCTGTTTTA